ATTGAGAAGGGCTATCCTTTTTTGATTATTGTTGTTTCGCTTCGTTAATATGGCAAAACATTTGTGAATTTACCAAGTCCATGGACGACTCTGGAAATTATCATGCATACTATGCACTCCGGGCAAGGTGCGCTCCTCTAGGTTTTCTTGCCTTAATGACAAAGGTGCGAAAACAAGGTCAAACAGCTTCTATACAACGAAATGAAACCACGATCATAAAAAAGGCCACACCATCTTGGCCTTCATACCTCAGATTAGTAAATAGTAGAGTTTAAAAGTTGGATTTAGGATGTCTTTAACGAAATAACTCCTGCATCCAGAATCGACAGCTTGAGGCTTTCACTCACCCCTCTGCTCATCCTTTGCAAAAGAATTGCGAATCACTTTCAGTCTTTCTTTCCTATACCACCAGGGCTCAATGCAGCAATCACAGATTCAATCCTTGTCGTAGCGGTGATACCTGAAATTCTTCCTCCAACATGTTCATATTGCCTTTAGCAAAAAGAGATGTGAATGTTCAGTAAACGAATATTATGATTTTTTGTGTTGGATTGACTTAGTTTTGATAATTTAGTCGGGGCTTCAGAGAGACTTTGTAGAAAGTACCTAGTCCTGCCTCCTCTTCCATCGTATTCGTGATTTCTAGCATCGAACCATTGACTTGATTCATTCCCAGTCGTTTCGCCTGCATCGTCAGTGATGGGTGCCATTGTTAGCACAGAGTTACAACTTATCAGTGACTTTTCACTTACGATGCCGGCGAAACGTTTAGGAATGTACTCAGTCCATGGTCCAATGCTGGAAATCACGAATACTATGACAGGATATACGACTAGGTACGTTCCACAAGGTCTCCCTGACGCTTAGACCAAGTTTCGAAAACAAAGTAGAATCAACACTAGAATTAGGTTAAGCTCGTTCTCTTAACTCTAAGGAAAGTTATTTTTCTGGAAATCTCTTGGTAGTAAACACTCCTTGAATGCCGGAAATAGGCGTTCATTTCTCTTCTACTTGCTTTGAGCCACCACTGCTGCTTTCGTACATATATGAACACATGAAGGCACATAAACATACAAAGGCATGGACCTCGTTGTCGCAATTTGGTCTTGTTGTCAGGGGGACTTAGTAGAACTCACCTAGTCCGAAGTCGTCTGTAATAGTAGTTTTCATGATTCCCAACATCGGATAGTGGACTTGGTACATTCTCAAACTTTTCGCAGCCATCGTAGTCGGCATCGTCAGTTAGTTTTGCTATTCTCCGCACCAAGCTACGAACTCGTCAAAGAGGCAAGTGAAGTCAATCCCTCGACAAACATTTTGCCGAAAACGGTTACATTATCACTCTTTTCTTTCCTGGCCTATCTATTTACTCGTGGCCCTATTATTCCACTGCCGCCCTATCACAACTTGTGACTTGTTTACATTCCAATGTGTGACCTTTTATGGCAAATCTAATGTGGCCTCACCACACTTCTATTCATCTTGACCCTCTCTCTTTCGATCGGCTGATCCGACTCGAGCCTCCAATCCGGATCCCCTCATCGTCTCATAGATCCCTTCCTTATCTTGCTGGTTGCCCGATTTAACTCGGCTCCAGTCCCATTTTGTATTTTATTTCAGGGGCTATTTCTCAAGATCCTAGAGGCACGTACATTGCCGCTTCACTGGTCAAATGCGGCATCTCAAGTGGATTTCTAGTGCATTTTAGCCAGAACCCCTAATTTATATGACGGTTCGCTTATCCGTTTGTCCAGCTTCCTGACTACCAGCCCCCCAAGGTTGTACTGGTTTATTCGAAACGAACATCACTCACTGACAACGTTTTCGCCTTATTGCCGAAAACCCCTGCTTCCAACTTTCTTCATTGTGATCCATTTTCCTCCGGTTAGCGGTAGATCCTTGATTTAGGCGTCTCCTTTTTGCTGTTCTTGCTCTATTGTTTTCCTCGAGTTTGCTTAGGCAGTAGGCAAGGTTATCACTAACTCTAATTTCCTCCATTCTCCTGTTCATTAGATTTTTTTCCCCAAGTATGTCAATGGCCTCCCTAATCTTCCGCTTCCTTGTGCTGTTACCGTATGAGGCTCTTCTTTCTGTTGCCTTCAAATTGATCTCGCTTCCAGTCTGTGCGACGTGTTCCGCTAGTTCTGATCTTTCGGTATCCATTTTCCTGCAGAGCCTCTGATCTTCCTTGATTTATGTGCTAATTTTTCTCCCTGTTTCGCCAATATATTTATGTCCTCGGGCGCCGCATGATATACAGTAAGTCTGTTTCTTCAAGTGCCGTGTTTTTGATTTTTTGAGAAAATTCATATGAATGTTTCACCTCGTTTATAGCCTCTCATTTAATTTCTTCAGTTTCAAACATATAAACTTTGCTAATTTGTGTGTTGCCCCATACTTGTTGTTGACTATCCGCCTTAATGGCTAGCCTTCTTTGTGTATATTTGGTAATCCGTGGGCTGTTGGTGGTTGTACATACCTTCTTATGATTGAATTTCTTGTCCATGCCTCAATTTCCCCATTCCTATGCATATCCTTCAGCATGCCACTTAAGATTCCATTGATCTTCATAGTTGGGTCTTTATTCAGTATACTATATGTGGTCTTGTCTCATAGAAGTTGTTCCATCTTCTCGGTATATTGTTTTTTGTCCATTATCAAAAACTCCAGAGCAGGATCGACGGGAAATCACGTAGGATTTCTGACTTAATAACAAAACGATATGATGATAAATTACGTAAGTTTGAGATTATAAAACAGCATAAGTTAAAGCCAGTAAAGCTTACAAAGGAGGAGCTATAGTAATAATGGACAAAAAACCAATATACCGAGAAGATGGAACAACTTCTACGAGACAGGACTACATATCGTATACGAAACAAGGACCCAACTATGAAGATCAATGGAATCTTAAGTGCCATGCTGAAAGATATCCATAGGAATGGGAATCAGCCGATCGAAAGAGAGGGGGTCAGGGTGAATAGCATGTGTGATGAGGATACACTAGATTTTTCACAAAAGAGCACACATTTTGACGAGTGGAATGTAAACATGTCACAAGTTTTGATAGGACGGCAGTGGGATAAGAGAGTAAAGAGTAGATAGATATGCCAGGACAGAAAGAGGAGTGATAATGTAATCGTTTTCAGTAGAATGTTTGACGAGGGATTGACTTCACTTGTCTCTGATGTGTTCGTAGCTTGGTGCGGAGAATGGCAAAACTCACTGATGATGCCGGCGAAAAGTTTGAGAATGTACAAGTCCACTGTCTGATGCTGGGAATCATGACAACTATTATAGCAGACGACTTCGAACTACGTGCGTTCTACTAAGTCGCCCTGACAACAAGACCAAGTTGCGACGAGGTCAAACCATTTCTATATATCGAAAGGAGACTGCGACCATACCAGTGGTCTTAATATCTTCAATAAATATGAGATTTATTCAACCTATTTCGTTTAAGGTGATGAAGGACTGTTAGTAAAATTTCCTCACAATGATATGAGTAGAGCTGACGTTTCCATTGAATTTCACATAGCTTTTCTTCCTCAAAAGTTGTTCTGATCCAGGGTGAACTGCACTTTTGACCTCGAATAGGTCTTATCAGCACCCCCAGCGGGAGTTGAACCGTGACAGTGCAGCATGTGAGTTTGATATTTGAAACTTTACTTACATACAAAAAGTAAGTATAATATCCTGCTCTGATGGTGTCTGTCATACGACGTATGAAAGCCTAGCACATCCTTTCCAGAATCGAGGGAGATTGCTTCGGAAACAGCGTCAATAGGAACGTTTCAGTAAAGTCAATCGACAGCTCGTCAAGAGAAATCGGGTGTTATATTTTGGTGGGATTGACCTTCGAATCTCTTTATTAAACACTCACTCGCAATGAAAGCGAGTTTAGCTCTTATAAGCAAAGAGATTCATCAAGGCCCAACTTCTCTTAGCATATTTGCGTTAAGAGTACGAACTTAGCCAAATCATATTCTATATATACCGGATATCAAAATTTCCTTTGATTTCTAATTTTTTTTAAATAATCCCTTGGATGAGCTTGTCATTATTTGCTAATAATTTAACCACATATTCACAAGTCAGCCGAATTTCTTTGGAATATTATAATTGGTTCATGAATTGGATTTAAGAATTGGTAACATATTTTTGAACTCCAAGAGTTCTTTGCCATAGGAAAAGTCCAATTTCCTGTTTCAGCTCATCACTGTTGAGCTCGATTTGGAAACTTCATATTTTTGCGATTTCGTGCAAATGAAAGCTATTTTTAAAATGATTTATCAAGCTATTCTCGAAACTCAGTAACTCTTTATCCTCAAGAATTCATTTACTGCACTAAGTTATCTTTTATATTCTATGCGAAATCATGCAAGATCTGTAAAATATATTTCTCTCCAAGTCTTGTAATTTATATTCTAAACTAAGAGCATGCAAATCGATCTCTTGGGGCCTTCTCTCATCTTTTATTAATTTTTTTTAATCCTACTTGGAAGTTAAAGATTTTCTTATCGTCCTCTATGACTCTAGGTGTTCTACACATAAAATGTAAGGCATTGATGTTTCTGTTCTGAGGTCAGTCCTCAAAGATTTGAGGACCTTTTGCTAAAAGTCTCTTCGTATATTTTAGTGGAGAATAGATGGATGATCAGCCAGATTGTGCTGAAAATGTGAGTTACAATTGCGACCTCGCGAGTTTTCTCTGCCTAGGATTATCAGAATCCGTTGTTGTTATTGTACTGCCTAACATCTTCGACAGACACTACTTGAAACAAATGCTTCTGCACTTTAGCTTATCATTACTTTATTCTCTTCTCTGTTAGCAAGCAGTTATGCTGGTCGTGCCATTTCGGATGCCTGCTGTATACTTCTGGCGCTACTTTGATATAATGAACCATTTCATATATAACTGTAGAAGTGCTACGTCATGAAGCAAATTTAACTCCTTTTTCAATATCTTGTACATTAAAATTTGCAGCTTTTGCAACTTAAATATTCCGTTTCATTAAGAAAAAATATATATTGGGAGATTATTTATCGCCATTTCAACATCCTTTTAAAAAAGCGGACAATTAATAATTATAATTATGTTATTTTGTAAGTTTTTTTGACTATTTTTGACTTTCCATTTGACATTTTTCCTCGTTTATTTCTATTAATAGCATTGCTACACAATTTTATCTTATTTAATTAGCCTGTTGATCTAATGCGATCTTTCGTTTGCTTTATACTCATGCTCTTATTTAACATAATATGTATCCTAGACGAGCGGGGTCACAAGATTCAATTCTGCCTGAAGCTTCCGCCTGAGGAAAGACAGCGACTTCAGGATCAGATGACGAATCAACGTCTCTACACTCTTGGTACAGGTGGAACGATCACCCCTGGCGTTACTCCGAGTCTTTCTTCTAGCGGCCAGCTCTCAACTATGCCATCTGGCTTGAACAAGCCGATTGTCTCAACTCACCTTTTCCCGCATCAGACAAATACTTCCACTGTCTTTTCTACTGGTCTTGATCGCCTGCGAACAGTTGTCGCATCCCCTAGCCCTGGGGTCTCAGCTAATGTTAATGCAGCCTTTGTCCCTGGTCACACTGGTTTCGTTCTCGCATCAGGACATTTGACTGGGGCTGGTGGGA